ACCAGAAAGTTAGTGAAATAAAATAATACACATCTTGCTGTTACAAAACATCTATGGGGCACTGCAAAGCTAGGTGGCACTTTATAGATGTTTACAGAAAAGCCATATTTGAGATGTGGCTTTTGCTCTATAACCCTTAAAAATCCAGATATGTTTCTCTTCTCCTGCTTAAAAATGATATTTGTTCTGCCATTTGACTCCAGCAGTTCAGCAAGTGCTGCACCCTGCACAGTTCCTCTATGTCTGTGTGTACAGTGCTGGGAAGCTGCATTATTCTGGGGCACAAGAGTGCTTCAGGGGCACAGTTTCTTTGTTAAATCCCTGAGACAGAGATGGGGCACATCAGACACATAGTCCTCCATTTTACACCATACCAGAAGCCTGCGGACCTTCCTCTTGCTCTAATTCCCTTCTTAGAGAACCCACAAAGCAAGTCCCTGTCTCTCTCAGATGTCTTTTGCAGTCATTCTCAGTCCTTCTCCACTGTAAGTCCTGGAAGAAGAATGCTCCCTTGCACAGCTGTAGCTGCCCTCAGGCAGACGAGCCCTTTATTGTTTGATCCAGTTTGGCAGCTGGATTGAAACAATCTTCAGAAATCTGTGCTAAATCTAATCTACTCAGACTTCACTGCTCTTGAACCCTGCAAGTTTTTTGTAAATGAGTCTCCTGCTTTATCAGCTACATAAGTTGTATTTACTGTAATTAAAATACTAAACTGATGAATCTTCTCACTGTGGAGAGATTACAGCTGGATGCATGAAAAGGGCACTCAGCAGAACCAACAAGCAAGGGAGCTAGAGCCCACAGAACCTGTGATACGCACAATATATGGGATATTAAAAAGTGCGTAGAAGGCAATGAGCAATAAGCATCCTGGGCCACTACGTCTTTTAATCCTCTGGTTTCCTTTCTGTCTGCATTAGCTGACTTCTGTGCAATGACTTGGTAGGCATTTAAGAAAATGAACTACACTGTTTTGTCATGTGTAGCACAAGAATCGACAGCATCAAATGAACTCAGCATTAAGCTGGGATCACTCAGTTACAATGGCAGGAGAAATTAAATAGCACTAATTAGAGGGAGAATATGGAACTCGGTCTGTCCGGGATGTGTCTCGTCTCAGCTGACAAAGCCTCCATTGTTTGGCTTATTAAGAGACAATTTGATAGGAAAAGTGAAGGGAAAAAAGGAGCGTTCTCCATTGTGTGCCAACCCAGCTGAGGGAAGACTTGAGTTTGAGAATGACTTTTAAAGAACAGCAAAAGGTTAATTAATTTTTTCCCAGCCACCATTAATATATGTGAAGGTCTCTCTAACCAGACCACAGACAGGACTTCTGCTCTTATTTCACTATGAGATCAGGTAAGTAATACATGTACGGGAGAAAGAATCAGATAAAAAAAAGATTTTTTTCAGCTTCCAGAAACCAAAACCATGTTCTGCTACATAAGTCTTCCTACTGGCTATGCAGCTACCTGTACATATTTCATGTTAAAACTTTCTCCACAATTTCTTTTTCCATGTTATTGACATTTGATATAAACCAGACTGCACTCTGCATTAACAAAAGGAGCTTGATTCTTTGAGGTACAGTGCACTCTCATTTGCCACTAAGATAGTGAAAGAGGTCGACAAGTAAAATTGCTGAAGGTAGGTCCCCTGTATGACTTGGAAATTGCTTTCCTGCACCCTCCATTCTCTGATACATTGGGAAAGGGCCAGGAGAAATACCAGAGTTTCAGTCTTGACTCAGTTCTCTACTCTGTGGTTTTAATCCATCCCAGCTTTTATAATAGAACTACAAAATATGAAATATGATATTGCAAACAAAGTGTAGAACAATTAGTTACATTTAGTAGGGCTTATTTGCCATCTTTTGGCAAATAAAGCATGTTTGCATATACTCTTTAAAAATTGCCTTTCCTTTTGTATGTATACTTTACTTTTTTCTTTACTAAACAGTTAATGAAATTCCAAACAACTAAACTAAAACCTGTGAACATTTTGGAGAGAAAACTCTTTTTCCCATTATATATCTATATAAGGCCTAAAACAGTCTAGTCCTGATTTTTGAACAGAACCATCCAGGAACTTTTGTTATTTAGAAAAATAGTATTTTTAATTATTTAATTAATTTAAGAATAAAAATTTTCTTTAATTTACCTGATTCCCTTGCAAAAAAATAAGGAAGAAAAGTGGCAACAGATTTCTATAAAATAAGAGTATGGTAAAAGAGCACTATTGAGGAAATGACCTACAAGGGAGCTAGAATTACAGATTAAGAAATTACACAGTGTTCACCTCGGAGTACTCAAAGGTTAAGATTTTTTTTGAGTGTTATTTAAGTCTCTTGAATCTAAGCACCTACACAATTTCAAATAGTAGCTGTACTATGTAAAATGCCTTAGAGAGGAAGATGCCAAAATGGACTGAAAAATCGTATATTTTCCAATAAAAACATTCTTTTTGGTCAACGTTATTTGCTAAATTCAACCCAAACTTATTAATCATTTTGCTCAGCCCACAATTGCATTTTTCAGTTAATATATTAATTATCCCTTCAATTTCTCTCAGCTTTTCTCACATGTCCTGTCTCTCTACTTTCCTTTAATAGATAATGGCATATCTTTCTCCCATATTTAGAAATATAAGCTCTCTTAAAATGATGCTTCTATGAAAAATCTCACTTGGACATCCTGTGACACTTGATGGACTTGAAAACTCTGCTGAAGAAAGTCAGGATGTGACAGCTGCATGACCCCTGAAGGTGCTTTAAAGGGCATCCAATAGCTAATCCATTGCCCTTATCACACAGATAGAGGGAACAATGAACTGTATATATGAGAAATTGTGGGCCGGTCAAATGAATGAGTAAAGAGAAAAAAAATCAAAGGAGAAAACTTGAAGTGATCACACATATGTGAACTGAATATGTGCACATGAAATTTCCCCACCCCAGCCTTTTCCAGGCTTTACCTATAAGCAAGAGGAGCTGAGAAGGCCTTGATGTCACCCTACCAAAATGCTCACTTTTGCACTCAGAAGATGTAAATCTTAGAGAGCAGTCTTGATTGAGGGCTGCCTGCAAAAGCTATGGAAGAAATTTCATGGGTCAGTTTAAGCGCAGGATCCTTTGTGCACAGGGAAGCAGAATCTAGTCTAGAAATCTCACAGTGACTAAATATCACATTAGATAAATATTATTAATTACTTTAAATTAAATGTAAAACATACCATTTTATGATGAAGACTATTTCCTAAAATGTCAATAAAGGTTAAAAAGAAATGACCTGGTTGGTTTGTTAAACCATGTGAGTTAGTTTCCAGTTGCTGCTTATTTTAAGAAAGTAAGAAAGAATTTGCAGCATCATAAAAATACAGATTTTGTTTCTTACATTTTCTTCTCATAAAAAAGGGGAAAAGAAAAAAAATGTGAAAGAGCTTAGAGCTGGGGTATTTAGTTTGAGATCAGTTGAATATTTCATTTTGTCCGTAGCACTAATTATAGACTTGATTATTATATAAATATTGTTTCATATTAGTTCTATGGCCCAACTTCTAAATTTAGAATTAATCTTTTTTTTTTCATGATGCAGTTTCAATAATAAACATTATGATCAAGTCTAGGTGTATGTTACCGTATTAAAATGCCTCCTTTTTAAGCACTCGGTGGAATCACTGTTACTGCTCTGCTATGGTTTAGCCAGTCTGCCTGTAAAAATGAAGATTTATTTTTATGTGGCTTGAACTAAAACGACTGATTTTTGATGTGTGTTCACCCTTAACTATTAACATTGTGTGCAATGGCAGTTTAAATGTTTTATTTTCAAATAAACAGGCAAATGGACTGTTATTTCTATAAATACTAACAGGATCATGCCCAAGCACTGGGATTTTTCAGCCTGGAGCAAGAGGAAACCACACATTTTCTGTTTATTTTTGTGGGTTTTACTATTTTAAGTAAAATCAAGCCCTGGACTGAAGATTTTCTGACATTGCTGGTTACTTTGAAGGAAAAAAGTCTCAATAGTTTCTTAGCAAGTTAGGTCAACTTCTGCTGAAGTCACTGAGTGATAAAACAGTATTCTCTGTGACAACAATATATGCAACGTCTTCCTGGATGTCCATCACCAAGTCTCTTGCAATGGAGCTCAAAAGTAATACACAGGAAGATGGGAAAATGTCTGATGGAGGGCCTGGTCCTACTAATATGTGTCCCAATGTACTCATGTGCATAGTGCCATTTAGTGTGATTCTGCAGCGATATCTGAGAAATGTCCCTGTCTCTGTAACTGAGAACAGATGCTGACAGTGGTATCAGATGCTCTTTTCTCTTCTCTCTTCCCTTGACCTCAGTTTTAACACAGTCATGAAGAACAAAATGCCAAAGATCTTGTGCTGCCTTTGGAACAGTAAAATCTGAGCACCGGCTATATGGTTTAGACCTGCGCACTAGTAAATGTTGTTTTGGTTTTCCTTTGCAGCTGGCTACTTATATTTTGAAGGGGCAGAAATGGACAACTGTCTGGGTTTTTCTGAGCAATACATCTGCATCTTTTGCTTGGCTTCTCTTCATAATGACCAGTTCATTATCTGCAAGTAACAAAGTACTAGTTGAGAATTTTAACTCGCTTTTTAAATAGATAAATTCAAACACTGTTAGATGACTGAAGTTTTACAAGGGTATCAGACTATACTTTGAAACTGAAGGCTTTTTGCAGCCCCGAGTTGTTCTGCTAAATGTCTGGTCAGTTCGAAACAGTTTGACCTCTGTATCTCATTTCTTTGCAGTAATAAAGCCCTCTAATAAATATAGAGAAAAATGATTGAAATAGATAAATACAGAAAAATTAGGGAAGGAGAAAGCTAATGAACTCAATTGCAATCACTGTGCCAGTATTGCCTTAACTTAAAAGTATTGATTAAACAACTGAATATTTACATCTTGTACTGGAAGGGCTGAAGGCAAATGATGCATTGCAAAGCAAACAGAAGCTGACCTTTGCACGTTTTCCCATCAGGCTGTAGGGTAAATCCAACTGGGCAACTGCATCGTACCCCTGTCGCAGTATCCTTGCAAGTCCGATCACAGCCTCCATTATTGACAGCACATGTTTCTGCAGAATGAAAGAGAAAGAGAGAGAGAGAGGGAGAAAGGAAGTGTAATGAAATGTTCTGGGGGAGGGGAGAGGCAGGGACTCTTTGAGACAATATTGCAACATTATGAAAGCAATCTAAGTTTAAGCAAGCCAACTGAAACAAGCTCTCAAGGTCATCAGGGCCCATGTACTGGTTTTGACTGGTAAATCATTTCCACAAGTCATGATTTCTTTCTCCCCGCAAACTGGTGTTTTTATTTATTCTGTTTAGTTAGTGATTTTGAACTGTCTTAGACAATAGGATGGGTTACTACATATGAAACAAGTTTAAAAAGAAAAAAAAGTGATTGCCTTTAAAAGCAGAACCAAACATTCAGTCTGTTTCATATCAGTCAATGTCTAGCTGAGGCTTTTTAAGGTTCATTTTTTTAAATGATGTTGCAGGCATAATGAACTTTAAAAAGCAGTGGAAAGCAAAGCAGAGTGCTAGACTTGGAACCGAGAATTTAAAATCCTTAGTTAAGAAAGAGTTAATGGAAAATGAACTACATATATCACTTTGACAAGAATCTACATGCCCAATCTGTTCTTACTGAACTACAAGCAAAAGGCATCTGGGTTTTGTCCACTTAAAGCTTTTTGCAAATTGAAAGGAGTTTGGAGTGGGTGGGAGGGCATAATTGAGGTCACTGAACCCATTCCAAGCTGTGTCATTGAAATTTCCCAGTGCTTGTAGTATGTAGAAGGGTGGCTGGGCAAACACAGGCAAGAGAAAGCTGCAATACTCCTGAGCTTTTACAACAGTGGGCAATGACTATTAGGTACCACTACATTAAAAAAAAATCTTCAACTTCATTACAGAAAATGCAAAAGCCCCTCCCTCATTGCCATTATTTTCTGTTACTCATGTGTGCACATGCGCACACCATACACATACATACGCACACATCCCCACACACACATCCATAAAACAGATAAAAGACAAGTGAAATGATTAACTTTGCTTTGATCCAGAGAATGGAGTGGATGTAAGGACGCCAATTTAGTACATCAGCTTGAACTGTGCATTTATCTGAGAAGTACTTACTTCAGGGAGCAAGTCCTTTTAATAGTATCTTTTTCAGTTGCTTTGGCTTTGATTAAATTAAAATACCCCCCTGCCCCCCAAGACTGCCATTATTCTACTCAGCTCACCTCATTCTGGCTTTCCCTAAAGAGGCTTTGTCATTACTTACTCAGATTTACAGACTCCTATTGCTGAATATTCACAGTCTGTGTCACAATTGTACCCTGTGGACAGGGTCTGACAATAAGCTATAAGATATGCTAATCAGGAATCGCCTTAGAACAGTACATTAATCAAAAATTATTTACACAGAACAGAAAAGGCTTCATCTTTCAACTGACTAGTACTAAAGATTTCTGTTTTAAAGTAGCCTCTGCAAATGCCCTCAAGGTGAACTTAGACTGGCCCTTTGGAGGGACTTCACTGCTTCAAAATAAGAGAAAAAAAGTGCAACTGGTTTTCTTTTTTTTTTTTTTTTTTTTTTTTCTTTTGCACTGGCAAAGACCTCTACATCAGCTGTGGAATAAGCTGCTGGCACTTAGGAAAAACTGAAAGCAAGGGGTTGGGGCACACACGCATTAACAGCATGGGACAGAATTCTGCTGTCCATTTACATTCACACACACTATACTAGATAGACATCAAATTTTTTATACCATGTGTGCTATGTAACAACATCATGTAGAAAAAGCAATCAGTATACAAATGGATTTGCATATAACTGCCAGCAAGCACAGATAACAAATGATTTGACATGTTTTCTGGAACAGCTTTCTGAAAACAGAGCTGAGTCTGCAACTCCTTATTTTGAGGCAGAGCTCTTGCTCACCTTAGATACAACTTGCAGGACCCGAACCTAACTGTTTAAGTAATACAGTTCTGATTTCCATTCACTCCCCTGGGAAGGACTATTTTATAGACTTAGAGGCTGACATTGTAGCTTGAAGAATTCTTCTGTAAATGACAATGACATTTCCATTTGTATGTGAATGTGTGCGTGTCCCCTCATAGGCCAATGTATCAAATGATTTTATGTTTCAGAGAAGGGAAAGTTTCAGGTCATTTAAAACTTTTTACTTGGGTACAGTTTAGTAGTAGGGGGATTTGCCAGGAGTAAAGAGCTAGGGTGAAAAAACAGGGAAAAGTGCTAAAGATGTACGTTTGGCATGGCACTGCAAAGAGCAGTAAATCTTACGTTAGCAGATTAACTTTGGCATATGAAGAGTCCTTTATTGCAGTTCATCAACACGAGATGAACATAAGCAGTAATATTTCTGCTTTCTGGATGACATCCAGTGAAAATGAATAGACACAACATTTTTTTTCCCCATGGCATGGATGACTGGATCTATAGGGTAAGGGTCATTCAGTGAACAAGAGTTATTTCTATGTATAAATAGAGGGAATCAAGCCAGCTTTTCTTATTTTCACAGAGATTTAGTAAAACAAACCCTAAAGGATAAATACCCTTCAACTTTCCTGGTGACTCTAATACATGATGAACTCTAACAGAATGAAGATCCAAGCGAGCAAGAGGACATCCGACAGTACCTCTAACATTTTGGATAATTGGAGAGATGTATTGATGAAATTCCTTAAACTCAAGGTCGTGAGAAAACATTGGTAAAAGAAAGTGAATGTGAATAGCAGAATGTGGGAAAGAGGTATTAGGAGCTACATCAAATAGAATAGCTGAGGCCTATATACAACATAAAACGAAGTGTGTCACCACCTGTTAGAAAATGGCTTCAACTCATTCTCACCACTATAAAACTTTAGTGTATATTTGAAAGGCAATTACAAGTTTTACGTCTCAAATAAAGAGCAGAAGCAAACTACTTGTTTCCAAGCTATCATGTTGGAGAATCTATACTTATACGGAAGGGAAAGAATGGATCTTCAAAATTTGTATCAGATCTTCATGGTGATATTGATCCTACAGACCATTTTCCACCATTTTTTTTCTCTGTGAAAGGAAGCCTCAGCATATTTATTACTCTTTTTTTTTTCTTTTTCAGACTTTTTGGCACATTTCTGATGTTTTGTGTTTTGATGAGGGAGCAGAAAAAGAACGGAAAGACACAAATAAAGCAGTGTCATGTAACTGATATTTAGATTCCTTCTGAATTACGATAAAGCTCATCATTTGAAATTACTAGACTTTACCGTGAATTTAAAGTGATTTTTGCAGCCCCACTTACAGCCTTATTGAATTCCCACCAGAAAACTCAGACAGAAACAGGAATCTAAAGAAAAGGACATCTACATAAGGCAGTCTGGGGCAACTTACTTTGTGTTTTTCCACTGTAAGCTCCTAATTCTGTAACAATCTCTCATGTATCTGCTTCCTAGATCTATAGATAAGAAGTAACCAAAATCATTACCAACACGCTATACCTATGGTTTACTCCATTAAGATGGCAATTTTTGTGACTTCTCTATGATCAAAAGAACATGATGTGATTTTAAGGGTACTACTCAAAATTAGGCAAATCTTGGAATCTTTATTATTCACTTTGGCACCTGGGTCATCCAATTGACCTGGGTCAATTTGAACTAAGATTCAAAACGTTTTAGAACTGAGATACGGTGCAAAGCAGAACAGACTTAAATAGGTCTATGGGACTAGAAGGGATACATTTGAAGATGATACAGTAATATATGTCTTAGTGAGGTCACTTTCTATAATCTTTGATAAGTCATGAGGACAGGGTAGGGTTCCTGACGACTGGACAAGGTAAACATCAAGAAAGGCAGGAGGGGAGATCTGGGGAACTACTAGCCAGCCAGCCTCACATCAGACCCCTGTAAGCTGATGGAGCAAATCATGCTGGAAGCCACTTGCAAGCACATGAAAGACAAGATTATTGGGGATGGCCAGCATTGACTTACTGAGGGCAAATCATGCCTGATTTAACCTGACTGCCTTCTACAAGGACATGACTTACACTGTGGATAAAGGGAGAGCTGTGGATGTTTTTCACCTTAAGTTTAGCAAGTATTTTGACACGGTCTTCCATAGTATCCTTATAGCCACAGTGGTGAGAGATAGACTGGATAAGTGGATAATGCAGGGCTGGAAAATTGGCTGGACAGCTGGACTCAAAGAATTGAATCAAGGTACAAGGGTAGTAAAAAGTCCGACTGACAGTCTGTCACTAGAGATATCCTTCAGCATCAGACAGTGATATTAGTGCCAATACTGCCTAATGTCTCTACAAACAACCTAGTCTGTGGGATGGATGGCACGTTCTGCAAATTAGTGGATGATACCAAGCTGGGGGAGTGATCAATACACCACAGAGCTGGGCTGCTATTCAGAGGGGTCTTAATAGGTTGAAAAAAACGGCCTCAGGGGAACATGATAAGCTTCAACAAAGGCACACCCAAGTTCTGCGTATGGGATGGAAAAATGCCATACAACAGAACAGGCATTGAATTGAATTGACTGGCTAGAAAGCAGTTTTGGTGAATAACCTGGGGTCCCTGGTGGACAAGTTGAAGGGAAGTCAGCACTGTTTCCTTAAGGCAAAGAAGGCCAACAACATCCTGGCTTGTATTAGTCAGAGTACAAGCAGAAGATCAAAAGAAGTTACCCTAGCCCTCTATTTGGTGCTTGGAGTAACAACATCTGGAGTGCTGTGTTCAGCTCTGGGCACTCCAGTGCAAGAAAGACATGGACATACTAGAGCAAATTCAGTGGAGGTCTACCCAGATCATGTTCAGGGGGCTGGAGCACATGACGTAGCTGCGAAGCTGTGAGCTGTTCAGACCTAACAAGAGCATGCTCAGAGGAGATTTTATTTCTGTCTACAGGTAGCTAATGGGACAGTATAAAGAAGATGGAACAAGACTTTTCTTGGAGGTGTACAGTGGAAGGATAAGAGGCAACAAACAGCAGTTAGAATATGGGAAATTCCAGCTTGATACAAGGTAAACATTTTCACCATGA